TTAAGGGTCATCTTTGACGATTAAACCAAATCTTCGGGGACTATCTCCTGTGTACACTCACAAACACATTAGTCCCTTGAACATTTTATCATCAATACTTCAAAACCACAAAGGGGATACTAGATGCACTTACACTTATACAAGAAGGTCAAGCGTTATTATAAACATATAGAAACTACTGAAGGTGGAGATATTGATTTTGGTGATTTCTCTGATTTGATATTGCCCGGAGACAAGTGATTTCTATGAAGTGAAATGTAATTTAATGTTGATATAATGAGGTCAAATATGTCAACAAAGATAGAACAGAAAATCTTGAGAAATGCATTTTACATGCTGGAAAAGAAGAATTTGACTGGTACATCATATTTTACTTTATGAATGCTGAATTAAGCGTTTGATAAAACATTATGAGTCAACGTATGTGAAAGTGTATGGAAACGATATAGAAGAGAAACTCATCGGCACAAAGGTTATGGATCATGAGGTACATAGTGCATTTGTGTGAAGGCTAAGCAAAATGGATAGCGTACCTATAAAGATGAGAATGGATTTTGACTTGGACAACATATTGAGCTACAAACCAATTTGAATTTCTGAATCGGGAAGAATATAGAATGACTTCAATCTTTCTGCCCTATTGCATGCATGTGCACATGGAGAGAAGGTTGGAGAGAATCATTTTTATGTCCCGGTAACTTCTGTGTAGACACCATACAAAGTTACCTATCACATGTGTGATAACATACACAGCCTAGGTGTGACATTTTTTCAAAAAATATCGTCGAAACGTACCAACATGAGATCTAATTACGTGAGCCTTGTCGTGACAAATTTATTGGTGAATATTTTGAATTGGACCAACGGTTTAAGCTAGAAAAGATTATGAAATTTCTAAATGGAGAGAATATAGTACTACAATGAATAAGGCGAGCATGCTTCCCAAAGTCCAACTTTGAACTTAATTAGGTGAATAATTTTATTGTGAGTTAAAATTTATACCAAAACTTCTTTTCATTACAAATTTAACAGTATATTTTTATCACATATAATCCACATTTGGTTGGTCTAATTTATTATCAAACTTCAATTTTCGGGATATGTGCACACCTTATCCATTGGAATGGAGGGGTATGATGACGGCTTTCAGTCCTATATATAGTGCATGCATGCTTGTGCATGTGAGGAGAAGATTGGAAGAACCATCTCTTATGTCCAATAAAATTACGTGTAAACTACTTAATAACTTACCAACACAGGCGTGGTGATGTGGAAACTTTTACCCAAAAAAGTCATCGTAACATACTCCCTCCTTCCATCTATATAGGGCCTAATGCGTTTTTCAAGACGGCCTTTGACTATTGACAAGATTAATAGTACTCCCTCCGTCCCAGTTCGCAAGGCAAAATCCCAAAAACTATTTGTCCCAAAATCTTCCACTCCCTAGGCACATTTGTATTCAATTTGGCACTAGTAGTCCATCAATGTTTGCATGCAAAAGCTGATCCACTCCTCTTTCACCGTTGGAAACCACTCCACTAAATCTGCATGCACCACAACACTTACTCCTCTTCCCACGCTACATGCACCACAATTCTAATGCGTGTTGGAGTACTTCCTCTCATCTTCCTTTTCCACAATGCAGTGTGAAACTGGCGCTAGACTGGGTTGTTCGTCTACGTAAGTCCATGGCTATATAAAGAAATATGGGTGCTGCTTTCATTTGAGTTTGGAACGAAATTCTTGCGCGCGGAATCAAATCTCTGGTTTAGGAAAGAAATCTGGGCGCGATAGCAAAATTTAAAGGGGAAAATATCGCGCCGAAGGAGGAAGGAGCACGCGAGGCGGAAACAGCGCGCGGGGCAGAGGAAAATATCGCGCCAAATCAATTAAAGACTAGAAAATAAAGTTCTTTTCACTTTCCAAATTAATTGCAGCGCGGATGGTTAACGTTTTTACGTGGAAAATCGGAGCCAATGGAAATTCACCTTGGGCCAAGATATTTGAAAACTTTGCCTTGCGAACTGGGACGGAGGGAGTACATGACATGCATAATATGAAAATTATATCATTGAAATCTTCTTTCACATACGAATTTGACGACATGCTTTGTGTAAGTTGCATGTCATATATTGTTGCTCTAACATTTGGTCAAAGTTAACTTCGAAAAATGCATTAGGCTCTGTATAGATGGAAGGAGGGAGTACCAATATAGGCTCTACTTTTGAAGGTTCGTCACCGTTGATTTAGTGGTGAAATGGATTTTCAACCGGACCAACAGTTTGAGCTATAAGATATTTTTAAACTTTCTAAATGTGAAGAGTCTAGGATAATATTATCATTCTTTTGTCTTCTTACACTAATATATGGGGAATAGTCGCGAACTCCCATCGAACGATTTCATTTACCATGGGGAGCAGCTCTCAACAAGTGTTTCGCCCCCGTTCCCTCGTTCATTTGCCGGGGGGAGGCACAGCGAACCCCGATTAGCCTAGAAGCCCAGTTAACTATTTTTTAATGCATTGAACAAAACAAATACACACTTTTCTTATAAAAAATAGGGCAAAATATAAATTCATAAAAATGCCATGTTGAAAAATACAAAAAAAAATGCCACTATACTTTACAAAACCGTCACTTCTCTAATTTACAAGCTTACAACGATATGATGTTTAAATGTGTCGCTTTATCTACAATTTTTTTTATGAAAATTATCATGGAGAATTTTTTGTGTGCAAAAAATGTCATGTTATTGGAAAACTTTTCTTCCTTTATGTTTGCCATGGACCAAAAAGAAAATGCCCTTGTGTAATTTTTTGTTTTATTGGGTCTACTACACAATAATTCATAAAAATGGCATGTCAATGAAAATAAAATAAATTTACCATGCCAATAAACAAATAAATTTCCATCCTCTTAATTTGAAAATTAATATCCTCAAAAAAAATTCATGCAAACAATATTAAAAATGCCACCTTCTTAATAATAAACTACCATCCTATTAATGATAAAGCTGCCATCCTCTTAATAAATAAAATCTCATGTTATCAATAATAAAAATGCCGTGGTCTTAATAGTAAATTTTTCATAATCTTAATAGTAAAAATGCCATGGTCTTAATAGTAAAATTGTCATAATCTTAGTACTAAAAATGCCATTGTCTTAATAATAGTAAAATTTTCCTAATCTTAATAATATATTAATTATTAAAATATCATTCCCTTAATAATATATTTCCATGTGAGAAAGTAGAAAAGTAATTCCAAAATTGCCATGAATAAGTGCTACAATTACCCAAAGCTTGCCGTGGAGCATGACAAAAAGACCTAATTTGTTTTCCATTGTTTTGAAACACACAAAAATGTCATGGCTTAAAATAAAAGAAATTTCCATGCTACCTATAATTCAAAATACACATGTCAAGTCTAAAAACAACCCTCTAGGAAGTAAGGATTTTGTTCTTTCAAAAATGAAAAAAATTATTTTTTGGAAAATAAAATCACAAGGGAATTTTTTTAATTTAGAACAAACTAGCTTTAGAAATAAATATAGCAGTTTGGTTGCAAGTGTTCATAAAAACCCACTACAGCTGAGTGGTAATCGAGCCCCGCCCATTGCACCCGAGCTAGCGAGTTTGAACCCCTCCCCGCGCATCTTGGTCGTGAATTTTTTGGAGAGAAAAAAATTGAACGTTTGCCATTAAACGTGTATAGCGAACGGCTCTAGCTGACCTATTATGTCACGTCGGGCTTGCGCCAAGATCCGCAACGCGCGGGGAATGTGTTCACTGGAATGGGCTCCCTGGCTGACGTCCGGCAGATATCATTTCTATTTTTTTGCATGCATGTAGAGGTAGGAGGAATTCACGGATGAAAAGAAATGTGTTGGGTTCTAACAATGAAAACATAACGTTCTCCCGTTAGTCCACTCCATTTAAAAAACACTCTTACTCCATCATGGAACCCGTTTGATGGAATTTGGTTTAGCCAGTAATCTCAAAGCTACTCTTGGACTAGTAGACAACTGATCTGCATGCGCACACACCAAAGTTTTACGAACATACTACCTGTAGTGCTATTTGATCTGCGGATAAGAACAAGAACAAAGCAGCTCCTCCGGGAACGAGACGTCGCGTATCCGCGTAGACGATTGTACAACGAGAGCTAAGCCCTAGGTCGAGAAGGCGCACCTAACTAACCCTACTTGGAGAAATTGATGGAACGCCTCGTCAGATCAGGTTTCCAAAAGCCAGCCAGCAAGCCTATTACTCGTACTCCATGAATCAAGCAGCAGAAGCAGCAGCACTGAAAGGAACCCTGGTTATTACTCAGCTGCACGTCCATGATGCTGCATTATGATTTGAATGCTGCCGCTGCTAGGTTGTTGCCGGCTAATCTAACGACCCGTCCAACTCCTCCTCACCAAACCCTGCAGCCGGATTAGTTATGAGCGGCGTCTGCATTCTTCTGGATCTGGAGGCAAACGAGATCACATCACGTCGGTGTGGCCTTGCGCAATTGAGGATCCTTATCGAGAGATCACTAGACGCGATCCTCACAAGATATTTGGAGGCAGTGCGAGTGAAAATCCATCATGGATTCATCATGGATCCATCATGGAGGGGTTGTCCAATGATGTGGCGGCGTTGTGGTTCTCATGTCACCGTCGCCGCCAGACGCCACGCCAGCCCGGGGCCTCGCGCGGTGGTGGTTCGGTTCGGCCTCGGCGTGGCACCGGTGGGCGCGGGCCCGCGGGTCAGCGGCGGCGGGCTCGGCCCACTGAGTTCCTACGCTTGCTCGTTCACCGTTATAAAAGTCTAGCTGCCTAGCGGAGCAAAGGCCCCTTCTTTCCCTCCGTTGCCATTTTCACTCCAGAAGCTGCTACTGCCCGGGCCAGCCGCCGCCACTGAGAGTGAGCTGATCTCGGCTGCCCCAGCTCCTCCACTCTCGAAGCTACCCTGCCTCAGTCTCTGTAGCTTAGCTACCTTTCTCCTCTTTTCCATGGCGTCAGGGGAGGCAGAGCCGCTGCAGTACACGGTGAGCCATTCCAAAACAGCTTCACCGTCTTCTTCCTCTTCCTCCTCCTCCTCTTCTTCTTCTTCTTCTTCTTCTTCTTCTTCTTCTTGTTGTGGCGAGGCAGTTTTGCTGACATTGTGTTTGGGCTTTGCTGCTGCTGGTGCTGCTTGCAGACCACCGTGCTGCGGGTGTCCATCCACTGCGAGGGGTGCAAGAAGAAGGTGAAGAAGGTGCTCCACAGCATCGAAGGTACCAACTCATGAGTCCGCTTCGGTTAATTGATTGAACTTTCATTCTCGTGCAAGTTCATTCTTCTTGCAACGACGATTAATTGGTGTGGAATACTTTCTGTTTCTTTGTTTGTGGTTTTGATTAATCGAATGTGTATCAGGCGTGTACAAGGTGACGATCGACGCGACGCAGCACAAGGTGACGGTCACCGGCAGCGTGGCCGCCGACGCGCTCGTCAGACGGCTGCTCAAGTCCGGCAAGCACGCCGCGCTCTGGCCGGTGCCGGCGCCGGCGCCGCCCGCCACAGAGGCCAAGAAGCCTGAGGAGGCCCCGTCTGCCGGGAAGGGCGGCAAGGGCGCGGAGAAGGCGGACGCCAAGCCCAAAAAGGTGGCCGACGAGGCAGAGCCGGAGAGCTCGGAGAAGCCAGACAAGGACGAAGGTTCAGAGAAGAAACCAGAGAAAGCAGCGGCGAAGAAACCCAAGGACGAGGCCAAGGAGGAGGGAGAGGATCCTGAGAAGAAGGAGAAGGTCTCGCCGGAGCCGCCAGCCAAAGAAGCGGCGGCCGCCGACGAGGCCCCGGAGGCGGGCGGAGAGGAGACGGGGGGCAAGAAGGGGAAGAAGAAGAAGAACAAGCAGCAGAAGGAGGTCGGCGACGGGGACGCCGCTACGGAGAAGCCGCCTCCGCCGCAGCAGCAGCAGCAACAGCAGCCAAAGACAAAGCAGCCACAGCCGCACCAGGCGATGCCGCCCGTGCCGGCGCCGGGGCCGGGACCAGAGCGCGCGCACGGCCACGGCGGCCCGTTCCCGTACTACGCGCCGCAGCCGGTGATGAGCTACAACATGGCGCAGCCGAGCGCGAGCGTGTCGTACTACGCGCCCACGCCGGTGGCGTCCATGCAGCCAATGCCGCCTCCGCCGCCGTACGGCGGGTACTCGCCTTACCCGCCGATGATGATGCCGCCGCCGCCGCCGCCGGAGTACATGTACGGCCCGCCGGGCATGCGGTCGTCCCCGCCGCAGGAGCCGTACAACAACATGTTCAACGAGGAGAACCCCAGTTCCTGTAGCGTCATGTGACGCCGCCGCCGCCAGCCGCCGGCACGGGATCGAGTCTGTAGTTAAAAGTGGGGGATGGGGTGGGGGAGGCTTCGTAATAGAAGCTGAAGTTTGTCTAGGCTGAGTGGAGTACGTACCCTCTTAATTAGGTGGTCAAAGCTCTTATTGACCACACTTTTTTTCTCTCTTCAAATTTTCGACTTGATTAGCTCGTCATGTAGCGACATGAGTATTTTATTTCACTAATATGCTTATTTTTGCTACTAGCTTGTTTCAATAATTTCCAATTTGGTACTATCCCTTTTGAGAAAATAGTCTATTCTGTCTCGCATGAATTTGGTACTGAATTGATTCGAATCATGTCTACAAAAATAACCTCCGAAGCAGAGAATCCACAAATTTGTGTACGAATTCATTTGAACTCATGCCTACAAGATAACATACATATGATGCACAAAATAGCAACAAATCTGTGCATAAACTGGGCAGTTCCTGCGGTATCTGAATTTGGTAGGGTGGTGCTTACATCTTTTGAGAAGCCGATCTTGTGATGATTCTGGTAAACACAGTGATGTCTAGTTCAAATGTGACAGTCCTAGGTCAGTGAAGTGGGGCCACTTCACTTGATCACTTTGGTAAAGAAGGGGCCTTTGGCCAGGCTAATTAAGCTGGCAGGCATGTTGGCTCACAGGCTTTTTGTAATTTTCCTGCTGTGATTATTGTCCTGCAAACTAAAGTATGGGTTTGATGGAGTTGTCACATGCTGTACTACTAAGGCAATGATGATTCTTGGATTGCTTTGTGGTGGTACTCTACTCTCTTTGATTGATTAGGGGAGTGCTCCGTAATGATGGAGCCCTGGTGGTGGCAGTGGTCAAATCAGGAGGGACAAAGAGCCGTTTAAATTATTATTAGTGGTACTGCCTGCCAGTCCTCCCAATCCCATTGTTAAGTAGGTTAAACCACTGGCATCAACTTGTTTATTTGTTAATCAGGTGCACTGTGTGCGTCGCACCATGTACGCGGAAATGTTAGAATACATATGCAGATAACTACATATCTCTTTTGACATCCGAATCCCAATCCTGCGTGACATTCGGCTTTTTTGTTTTCAAAGTTTTTTCGTAAACTTTTCTATAGATTGTGAAAGAATTGGAATTCATATAAAGTTTCCCTATATTATTTGTTTGATTCATAATAATTATTTGTCTTTCTATGTACTATAGGATTCAATAGGCATGACATAATTCAATCATACATTCAAACAACCGATAAACAAAAAATTCTAAAGAATTAGGACCAGTCAAGTTAGTACAAAGTTGACTCACTTATTTTGGAACGGAGGGAGTACCACGGAAATTGATTGAAAAAGACATTAGATACCCATGCAACTTTATGTGGAAAACAAAAATTCCACATGGAATGAAGATTTTCATGTGGTTAGTTCTTAGAAACAATATCCTAACCAAAAACACTTGATTAGATGAGGATGGATTGGTAGAAGGGCTTGCCCTTTCTCTGGTTTAGATGAAAAACATTTGTTCATGAAATGCTCCTTGGCTTGGATGTTGTGAAATATTTTAAAATGTGCTTTCAGTTTGATTTACACTCTTGACAATACTACTTGGTTGAATAATTTTAGAGCTGCTGAAAAACATCTTATGTTTACTGGAGTGTCTGTGGTCTTTTGGACTATTTGGAAAATAAGAAATAGTACCATATTTGACAATGCAAAAATTACTGACCTTTCTGTCTCTCTCAATATGATTGCTAGATGGCTTAATGATTGGATTATTTCGCAAAAGAGCAGGAAAACCAAGAAAAGTTGAAGTGGGAGGTAAAAATGCTTGAGCAGACATCAAGTGAAGTGTTTCGTGCACTCTAGGGATGGCATTTTGGTGTGCTCAGGATAGAATGAGAATATGTGGAAGTGCAAAGATGATGAAGGAAGCTACTTTGGCGGATATTCAATTCGGTGTCCATGCTCATCTGCACCCAGTGAACAGAAAATTCAGAACAAATACTAAAAAAATTAAAAACTTCTGAAAAACTTTCAGCCAAAAGATGTTCCAGTGCTTGATGTTCGTGCCAAATTTCAGCTTGTTCGAACATCTGAGGAGCTCGTGAAAAAAAATTCGATCAAAACAGTACATGAACAATAAACTTTTTTACAACCCGAAATTTAGTCTTTTTTCCTAAGAGCTACTGAAATGTTCAAACTCGAAATTTGGCACGGACTTCATACACATGAGCATCTAGCATCACATAAAAAATCAGAGTTTTTTTATTTTTGTTTACTATTTTAAACGAATGCACCTGAGAGCCAAAACGCCGCGTCCCCTTTTTCTACTCTGCCGCTGTTGTCTGCTCCTGTAGACCTGTACCAAACCTATAATAGGTGAACATGTGCACTCTGTTTCTGCTCCTCGCTCTATATGTAGTCAAGAAGTGGAAAACCTCCCTTTTGTTAGCATAAGCAACCTAAAAGCACTGGTTCTCATCGTCTTAGGTGCCTGCTGATGGTGCGCTGAAGCCCTGGTGGATCTTTAGTTAATTGTCAATCAGCTTGATATATCAAGGTGTTGTAGGTCATTTATAGCATATATGTTGCTTCTATTTTCTGTTTAGTAGATGTAGAACATTGTGGTTTCTGTTAAATGAAATCGAAGGGAGAGCCTTTTTATATATAAAAGGGGTCTCTTTGTAATAAATATAGAGAAACCGATGGCATGATTAAAACTAGTTTTACTTTCTTTCAAAAGAAAGGTCTAACCTCAGAGATTGAATCTACGGGTGTACACTACTATAATATAATTAACAAGGCCAAAGTAATCAACAAATAGAGACATTAGGTAGACAACAATGACAAGATGTAAATTGCACTATCCCGCAACAATGCTTGCAATAAGGGAGAACACACCCGCACTAGCATCATCACATCCAACATGAGACTGTCAGGACAAAGGATTTTCGTCCTGGATGTTGGGTTTAACCAATCAAGTCCACAAAATTAGCATAGAGACAACACATTCAACAAGATAAGGATGAAAGTTCATCTTTGCTGGGAGCATGGGACCGACCAACAAAACTGAGATCATTTTTTTTGAAAGATCAGATCACTTATTTTCATCCTAGATATGACACGATGTTACTATCACCATCTTTATGATGGATCTTTTGAGAGTTATATCATCAAATAATCTACATAAACCACCATGGTGTCCACCTGAGATAGTCACAAAGTAGGCCTATCAAAACTCCTCATGCTGATGCCCCACCACATGCGCAAATCATAGACGGGCACCATTAATAGTCCTCCGTTTCACAGGACGGGTCTCCACTTCTCGCTGAACGGGAGGTGGCAACACTATGAACCACACGGGGATCCAAATAAAGTTGTGGGCACGCAATTGACACACTTGCAAAGCGCCTATGGCACACCGCCACACTCCTACCATGTGGCCACGCATGACCGAGACAACCACTAAACCAGCAACCTCTAAATAGTAGTGGCGTGTCGCCATCATCGGAGGCAATGTTAGGGAGCGACGCGGTCAGAAGATTGGATGAGTCATCTCCCGCCTAAGACGACCGTCGCAACCACGTGGCTATCGAACCTCCAATCTAGCATGACCCATACTCGTCGAGTCAGATTCACGAACCCATTGTGAAGTTGTGCCCGCCACCACACCCTCCCGGAGGAAGCCACTGAGGCACCAACAAAACCACGATGGCTTGTAGCGCCTGCCTAGCCACAATTGAAAAACCACCCGATAGGCATGAATAAGGGCCCCACCGCCGTCGACCGGGCAGGCTTCCTGGTAGTGCACCGGCAGCGGCGGTGAGGGGAGGAGGCTCGCACTCAATACACGACCCGAGCTGCCCTGGAGCGACACGGGTGCCGATCCCATTTTTCTCTTTTGAAAAAACATGTGAAAAGAAGGTAGACAAAATCCAATGCCTGTGGATGTATCAACGCTGAAATTTAAGAGTTTGATCAAACAGACCCCAACGCGGTACGAAAGGCACATTTTTTTCGAAACGGAGGCAAAAGATTTGCCCCATATATTAAATAAGGAGAAGATAGAGTTGTTACAAGAGCCAAACACACGGCATGACAATTATTCTCGCAATATAATGTCCCCTAGCTTTCTAGCACCAGCAGTGACCCATAGCTTTGCCTCGTTGAGGACCATTTGAAGAAGGATGGTCGGTGGAGCACTCTTGTGGCGGAAGACTCTGGCATTCCTCTCGTTCCAAACGGACCAGGAGACGAGCATAGTGAGAGAGGCCATTGCTCGTCTATTGGGATTCTGCAAGTCGGTTCGCTTCTCCCACCACTCCTTCACCGAGCCAGCAAGATGCCAAGTGGTGGTGTCCATGTGCACAAGTCCCAACTTGTCAATGAGCATCCTCCAAAGCCTAAGAGTGTAGCGACACTTGAAGAAAAGATGGACGCCAGACTCTTGCTCCCTTTTGCAAAGTTGACAAAGGCCGCAGTTGGGCCAGCCGCGCCTGGCCAACCTGTCTGCAGTCCAAATCCGGTCTTGTAGAGCCAGCCACGAGAAGAATTTAACTTTGGGTGGAGCCCAAGCTTTCCACACCATGAAATCCATAGGGGAGAGAATCAACCCAAGGAATTGAGCCTTGTAGGCAGAGGATGTCGAGTAAATCCCGTCGCTGGAGTGCTTCCAGGTGATATCATCCTCGGCATGCTCGTCAAGGTGGACCTCATTCATGAGCATCCAAAGAGAGAAGAACTCGTGAACGTGGGCAGCGGTGACGGGCGTGTCAATCTTGACCTTCAGTATCCATGCATTCCCTTTAAGGGCCTCACGCACCTTCCAATTCTTTCTCCTGGAGGCACCGAAGATTAGCGGGGCAATGTCCTTGGGTTTGCGCCCAAGCAGCCAGGGAGAGTCCCAAAAAGGCGTTTTGGCACCATTTCCAACAGTAATCGTGGTTGACGCATAGAAAAAATTCAGGTCCTCCTCTGAGCATGGGTTACCAAGCCCCACCCA